CCCCTATCCCTGGCCAGAGGGGGGGGGGTGCTATTTTTCATGATAAAGCAAAAAATTATTAGAGACAAAATGAGATACAGTAATTTGAGTAATAACATGATGATAAGAGAACTGTGAACAACAATTACAATTCAAATACAGTGTCAAGCAAGACTTTGCATTAGTGAAGCAAGTTGATGGGCGTGCGGCACACATGACCGACACAACTCGGCACCACAGCTAGCAGAGCACCCCCCCCTACCAGATCATGCTGGATCCATCCCTGTCAGTCGGTGGACTGGACTGAGTAGTAAAACGAGGACTGGACTCGTTGGTAAAACGCGGACTGGACTCGATTAGCAAAATGCGAACTGGACCCAATAAATAAAATGTTGACAGGCCATCTACTATGGACGCTATTCGTAAACCCGGAATGACAAGCACGGAACTGGGAATAGAAAACCTGGAATCATGTATACTATAAATAACTCGCGAATATTTGCCAACGACACGGAAGTCGGATATCAAACATCTCAGAGTTCGTTTAAAAATCTCGGCTTCGCCTCGTTTTTCAACAAACGTCTCGGTGTTTAGATATCCTCATGAAACACGCTTTCTCGTGTTGATATATTACGTAAATGTCTCTCTTTAGGAACATCAGATTAAAAACAACAGGATTATCTTAAAATGTTTATTGTGTTTTTGTTTATTCTATACAAAAAATTAATAATATTTAACTCGATGTTTTCTCAGTCTTCGTCTTCAGAGTCCGTTTCTAAAAACATATGACAGGATCTCGATGAGTGTTGGTTTGTTTGCTGGTTTGATCAAGCAGCAGAGTTGCAAAAAAGCTGCGGGCACGCGGGCATTGCCCGCGAGGAAGGTTTACCATAGGTGAGGTCAGTGAGGAAGGTTTAGTGGCCAATGGTTGCTACCACCAAAAGAGTAAAACAAATAAATCATGGTTGAATAAGGCAGTTGAGGCTGACAAGTTGTGGTGGCACTATTGTGATATAGTACCTATACAGATGACTATGACATTGGAGAATACTGAGAAGACAAATAACTGAAAATATTCTGTAAAATTAAAATGTGTAAGTGTCAAGCATCAGAGGTGCCTTAGGCCACATAAAATAACTTGCTGGATTCTCATCACCGCCCAACTGTATCTTAAGAGCCGTGTTAAAATTTTTTATATTTTGTTATATAATATAAATGTACCGCCCGACAAAATATTTCAAGACAGTTAAGGTATTTTATATTGGGGTTTTAGTGCCATTTTAAACTGCCAATTCAAACAAACAGAAAGTTGAATGAAATTTCATTGCATTTTACAGGAACTTCGCATTTAGTTCAAGGAGATATGTTGGAAATGACAGAAATGTGTACTGTAATATGTTTATTTTGGTTTATGACACTTCACTTCAGAACTCACAGAAATATTAAATGTTAGGAATTTTTTTTTATTTAATGAAATAAACCATCAATGTTGTAGCAACTAAACATTGTAATAATTATATAAATAATGGCCTTATAAACAAAGTTGAGGAAGAAATTTTAGCATGTGTGATGCGAGTCGGACAAAAAAAGTACAGCTTAATTACTGAGTTGTGTAGCTGTCATACATATTTAATACAGATCAACAATACATTGAGGTCCTATAATCGAAATCATTATTTACATGCCTGATACCTACACTGTCAATTCCCACAAACTATATAAGTATATTGCAGGATTGGCAGCATCTGGTATAGAGATATATTGCCATTGCCATTGATTTTCAACCACTCCAAACATTGCCATAAACTGTCATGCAGGGCACTATACGGCTTGGTTTAAATTTAGCACTTTGCCTCAGAAACAAGTGAGAGCATTCGCTGCCTCACTGATTGTGAAATTGGGCAATTGGGTCACACGTCTGAAGACCTAAACACTCTCAAATGCCTTTCAAAACCACAAGTACAGTAATATCATTATATGATATAGGATGTAGACATAGTAGGTAAGGACTATCCAATTTGTCCAAAGTATAAACTATTATGCATGTACTGTGTGTTAGGCTTTCAGAATCAGTTAAGTTTATATACTCTAGTACATTGCTATTTGATGAAACCATATCTATTTAATTTATTTTGAGGAAGGTTTGAAAACTTTAAATTTTACCCGGAGGAAATTTGAACAGGTTTTGCAACTCTGTCAAGCAGGGCACGAAATAGAAAAATATATATGGTCTGACATTGTTTTTCTTTTCGTTATGTCAAATAAACTATTGTCTGCAAATTTGTGGTTGTGAGCGTCAGAATGTTCCAATAAACCTTTCTTATAATGACGTCAAACGCGGAAAACCAATTTTGTCCCATGGTACAGGGCAAGTCGTTGGGCGAGCCAATAAATTTCATAAAAACATCATTTGCATGCATTGCGAATTGTCGCTAAAAATTGTCCCTTGGGACATCGCATTATCGCCCGTATTCTAAAAGCTCACTCACACTCAATGAGTGGAGGTTCAATCTGAGCTTCTCTTGAGTGTCAAAGCTGTTTTTGAATAGCTGGAGGGTGAGTGGTCACCGAGTAAGGTATGACACTAGCCCTCCAGCTATTCAAAAACAGCATTAACACTCAAGAGAAGCTCAGATTGAACCTCCACTCATTGAGTGTGAGCTTTTAGAATACGGGCGTAAGTGTTTTTTTGACGTCATTATAAGAAAGGTCCATTACCATTTAAGAGATGATTAATATTTCCCATTTTATTTGTTTTGTTCATCTCTACGTATACATGGTCTCTTTGATTATACAGTATCGGATTGAGTATCACCAATTTCGTTCCCAGGCCAGGCTTTAAGCCTGGGAACGAGGTTGGAGTGTCACAAGCTTTCTAATACAACACCCTAGCTAAGACTGAATGCAATTTGTATGGGTAATAGTATGGTTTCGAGTGCAATTTGGAAAAAAACATGCACGAGTAAGTTTTTTCAAAGACTATCAAAACTATCAAACTATCTACTAAAAAC